CAACAAAGGCTGCCTGCAGAAGGCGAAGGACAAGCTGAGAAACAGGAGCTGCGCCAGCCAAGCAGCCAGCCAGCCAAGCAGGAGGCAGCAGGCAGCAGGCAGCAGGAGTAGCACATTAATCACAATGCTCCAAAAGAGCTTGACAGCTAGCTACATGGAAACCTCTCCCTGGGTGTCTCAAGACAGTCGCTCTCTCTCTCTCTCTCTCTCCATCTCAGTCTCTTTCTCTCTGTGTGTGTGTGTGTGTGGCATCCTTTGGCATAATTCTTATTCAATCGCTAAGGACAATGGCATGTTGTAGTTTCAATTTGCGGTGGGCATGAGATTTGTGCCAAGACAATTGCCAAACAGGAAGCCAACGACTCCCGACACCGACTCTGGACTCCGAATCCGGTGGCCATCAATTTAAAAAATGAAAAATTTCCCTTTTTGCTTTTGCCGGCGTCCGGAAAATGGAAAATTAAATTAACCTTTGGGAGCTGTTGCTGTTGCTGCCAAACAATGTTGCTGTCTGCGCTGCTCCCGATAGCATCTACTGCCGAAATATGTTAATTTTCAATTTAGTAGTTTGGCCTCTGTCTTCCAATACACACACACACACAACAATATATACAATATATACATATATGTATCTATCTCTCTGCTTATATATGTATATTTGGCTAGTTCTTAATTCGCTTTTCTTTTGAGAGTTTTCGGGCTGGTTTTATGAAGCGCAGCCGAGCGCAACGGTAATGGGTACCAGAGAGAAAACCCATTATCACATATAGCTAATCTGCTGCATATCATTTCGTATTTGGCAGAGGAAGTGTTTGCTTGTTAGTTGTCGAGTTCATAAACAATTTGTTGACCACATTCTGGTCGTTGAGGAAATAATTAAGACATTATAAATTATTTGAGGCCTCTCGAGTGTTGATTGTTAACTTGCGGTCTTTGCGTTTTTACTTACTTATCTATGATACGTCTCATTCTCTCTCTCTCTCTGTCCCTCTCTCTTTCTGTCATTCTGACTGCATTGTTGCCCCCTAATGAGCATAACAAAATATTTTAGTTTATTTCGTAGATATGTATCTCTGGGCCAGTTTTCAACAAATACGTATTTAGTTTGATTTATGCATTCGGCCTGCCCAGCGTCTTATATTTAGCATATTAAAACAAATGTAATGAAATACATTTATAGAATGCTCCTCAACAATGTAGTATAAATGAGCAAATGTGATGCAAACTTTAGATAAGCAGGAGCAGCAGAAGGTCATCGAGAAGGTTAGATCTTTAAAAATCTACTATAGATTATAAGACTTCATGTAAAATTGATATTTAGAAAATATAGAAGCTCAATAAATTGATATAAAATCGTTTATATAATAGAAGCTAGTTTTAATCTAAAATGGATAATTACAAACAAATCAGTAGAATGATTAAGAAAATTACAAATAAAATGTATTCAATTTTGACATAAATATTTTTATTTTTATTTCAATGTATTTCTCAGTAGATTGATTAAAATAAATGAATCAATATTTGCGCAAATATTATTATTTATATTTTTAATATAAATCTTATATTTTGAAAATTAAGTTTTTTTTTTTTTTTATTGATATAAAAATTTTATATATATTAAAAAAGTATTTATAAAATGTTTTATATACTTATATACACATTTTATTTTTAATTCAATTTTTTTCTTTCCATTTTTTATAGTGAATTTAATATACATATTTGAATAGCTTTGGCCGTTTAAAAACGCATTGGATTTGCTTTTTACGGATAAAAACTGAGTAAACAAAGTTTATTATAATTCCATTAAAAATTACATCACATACAGGCAATTAAAATTTATATATTTAGCTTTAACTCTTTAGGAAAATGTCGAACATTTATTTTGTAACCCTCGATTCATTCAGTACAAAGAAGAATCTTATCTAGTTTATTATCTAATATTGTAGTAAGACCAAAGAGGCAAATGAAACTAAGGAAAATCCACTTTTAATTAAAGTCCAAAAAATACAAGATCTTATGCAATATTCGGCCCCAGGAGCTTTAGCGTAGCTAGTCTATTATTCCTTATTCCCCCAATCAATAATCAATTAACCCATTTCTTCAAGCAATTTTCGTACTCGGCCTTCATAGTTTGTTACTCGTGCCACATATTCTGGTATTTATAGCTCTGAATCCATTAGGTTATTACGCGAACCATTCTAACTGCCAGAGACACCAATTTACAAATTGTTGCATTACTTTTTCAACATTCACTTAACGCAATTGGACCAACAACAAGAACAACAGCAAAAAGTTACGCCATGTACCGGAGCGAAGGTCAAGCGAAGCCTGAGGAGAGCATTCTACCTCAAAATTTGGCAGCTGTTGTGCTCTATGTGGCCCCACTACAGCTCGACTGGCATCTGTCATTAGTAGTCATGTGCAACAATATTTGCCACAAACTAACTTTCCAGCAACGACAACAACAACGTCAACAACAACATCAACAACCAATTGTAGTTGTTCAAAAGTTTATAACATTTTATAAATTACATTTTCCATTAAATTGGACATGGAGAGCTGCATGAGATATGCATATGATTCAAATTGATTTAGTTACGAGTCAGTGGAGAGAGCGCAGAGCGTGTAAAATGCCCAAAAAAATGCGAGTTTGCATTTGCAGCAATTAAATCAGAAAGTTTTTAAATCAAAACTGTTAAGGATGCTGAATGAGTGCTGGCAGGAGAAGCAGGCACGCTGGTAGGGGGGTAGGGGGCCACAGAAGGGCTGCTGAGGAGCTTAACTGACAGACAGTTGCGCGCTTTAACCGATTGAAATCAGCGAGAACGCTGCTTAAATCAATTTCTCAATCAATGTCAGCTAGCAGGCGGGCAGGGGGCTGGGGGCAGGCGGGGAGGGGAGTTGCGACTGAGGCCGGCTACTCTCGAGGGTTCCTGGAACTGAGCTTAAGCTGGAAATCGTGGCTTACACTCTGGCCCCAAAAACCCGCAGTGGAAGCGAACCACAACAACAACCAAAAGTAAAAGGTTCAAATTGTGTCCAAAATGTCAAAAGCAGACGCTCAATATGATCGCCCTATACACTGCGATACGTACACTGAGCGAAACAGAACTGGGTACTTAAAAGCAAGCTCAAAAGAAATGCAGAAGAAATGCAATTTAAGTACTCAAATACTTTAAGCTAGACTTAAGCATTTTGTTCAAATTTTACTAAAATTAAATGAAACTTTAAAAATATTATTTTTCATTTTAAGCCTCAAAAGTATTTAGTTTATTTATTTTTTTTTTTTATTTACTCTGTGATGAAAAATTAAAAAAGTAGATAACATTTTAATGTTTATCTTTTTAAAGATTAAACAATATTTAAATAGGCTTTCAACCAGGTGATAAACTCTCTTTCCTATATATTTGCTTTAATTGAAAAGGGTATATTTAGATATTTATTGTTTGGTTTTGATTTATTATTATTATTATTATTATTTTTTTTTTTTTTTTTGGCTTAAAGAATTTACTTAAATCTAATTTAACTAAACTTGTTTAAAATTTTATGTAATAATTTTGTGTTTATTATATTTCATTCTACTTTTTAATAGTTTTTAAAATATATATTGTATAATAATTAGTGTTTCTGTATAGTGTTTAGATAACTTACTGTTTATTGAATTACATTTTTTTTTTTTTTTTTTGTACTATACTCTAGTTTATCTGCTATTTTTTCTTTATTATTTTTTCCGTTGATTTCATAAAGTTAAATCAGATTTATATTTATTTTTTATATTTATTTTAATTCCTGTGCTTTTTATTTTCTTTCATTTCTTCCTTACTTGTTTAATTTTTATTAGTACTTTAAAGTTTTTCTTCAATTTTGCTCCTTCCAAATTTTCGGAAAGTAATTCAATCGTATTATTTTATAATGAATTTTAAATTATTATTTTTAATTTTTCTCTTAATATTTTGGCAATGACTTAACTATTCCATATTAATTTACTTATATATTATTTAAAGTTAATGTCATCAAGTTGTCAAATGTTTTCACAATATTTATCCATTTTATCTGCCTCTAACATTCTGTTATGACTTGCCTCACTCAATTTGACTTTAATTAAATATCGATTATTTCCATCAAATTGAGAAAAGTCTTACCTTGGCTTGAATATGAATTCTGCCAGTGTAGCTGTGCACAACAGAAGCCCTGGAAATTTGATCGCATGCAGATAGCGCTGCCTGCCCTGACTAAAGCCTGCCAACCTGTCTGTCTGTCCGTCTGTCGCTCCGTCCGCCTGCCTGCCTGTTTGTCGGTTCTGTCTGAGCGCTGGGCATGCAACTGTTTTGTCTTTTTGGCGTGCGATAACTGAAGTCAATGACTGGAGCTCGAGCGCGCAGCTTCCAGCTTCCAGCGCAGTGCATGAAAAGTGAACTTGAGCTGCAGTTGCATTGTTTCGGCCGCTTACGGGAGCCATCGACATCGACATGGCCATGGCCAATGCCAATGTAGTCGCTAATGCTGCTGCTGCAGCTGCTGCTGCGGCAGCTACTTCTGCTGTTGCTTCAAGTCGCATCCTGATCCTCATCAGCATCATCATCGCTGCATACAATCGTCGATAATCTCACGCTTGGCATCGCCAATATCACAGACAGCAGCAGCAGCAACCTCTACAGCGTCTATAGCAGCTTCTTCTTCTTCAGAGTTCGTTTTAGTTTAGTTTAGTTTGCTGGGCAGTTCGTTAAATTACATGAATGTATAACCATTTTAATTTTGCCTCGGCTTTTGTCTGTCTGCCTCTTCCTCTGTCTCTGTCTCTGTCTCTGTCTCCCGGTCTGTCGCACACTCGATGCCTTTTGAATGATGACCTTACAAATCACGTTTCGCAATGTTTTTGCGGCCAGATCATCAAGATGCCGGAGTGTTGATAGCACTGCCAGCTATGCCTGTGAGAAAACATTTCGATCAGTTGCAAGAATTTCCACTGTTAAAGGAGGCAATGGAATCGAAGCAGTCGCACATAGCCTAACATCTCAGTAGGCTCTATACACATATATATTGAGTGAATAGCAGCTTTGGAGAAAACACAAAAATGGGCCAGGCGGATGAGAATCTAATTTGGAATATTAAGAACGGGGAAATCGATGCGGTGCAGCTGATGTTCGACCAATCAACGCGAAATGTTAACGCATTCATTGGCGGCCGCACTCCCTTGCACTATGCGGCCGACTTTGGCCAGCTGAAGGTGCTCAAGTATCTAGTGGAGATCGGGGCCGATGTTAATAAGCTGGATAAATATGGCATAACGCCCATTCTGGCTGCCATTTGGGAGGGGCACACCGACTGCGTTGCCTTTCTGCTCCAGCACGGCGCCAATAAACAGGGCACCACGCCCAACGGAGAGAATTATGTGGAGGCAGCTGAGAAGGTTGAGATTAAAAAGCTGCTCATGGATCCAAAAACTGGCTAATCGGGGGAGATCTGGAGAGATCAGAAGAAGATGTGCAGAGAAAGGTTTCCTTAATACTAACTAATAGAGAGAGAGGGAAGAGAAATGTTTTCTTAAGTTTTCGTTTTCGGTTTTCCATTATCTTGAATTTTTGTGTTGCTGCAATTAAATTGTTTGGTTTATTTAAACTTTAATGAATATTTTAAAAAGCTTTGGAAGAGGTTAAAGATTAGATGATATTGCAGAAAATATGATTTTATCAAAATTAAATTTTTAAAATTATTTTGAAGTGAATCTAATCATATTTATATGAATCTTGTCTAAATAATGTTAATAAATAAAAAGTAAATTAGTGTTTATAAAGGCAAATGATATCTGAGATATTTGCAACTTATGCCATTTTATATATGAAAGTGTGAATAATGAAATTACCTTGAAGTATATCGTATCATATTTATTATATGAGTTTTACTCCATCTCCCTCTAAAAATAATATTTACCATAAAATACTGTAGAGACACATATTTATTTTGGGTACTATTAGTTTTTTTTTCTGGCCATTAACACCCAATAGCCCATTTAATATGGCAGCTCCTGCTCGGCTGGCAGCAAATCATTTTGATTACACAGCCAAAATTGAGGGAATGACATATTTCGCATTTAGTTGAGAAGGGGGTGGGCGACAGTTAGTTAATTTCAATTTTGAACACGATACGCCCCAGAGAAGAGAAGAGGAGAGGAGAGGAGGATAACTCGTGTGACAAAAAACAATTAAATGGGAAACGCGACACGAAACGCGGACAACTGTGAATCGAAAAACGCGATATTCAGGAGACCAAAGAGCAACCTAAATGAAATTCACACATATTCCTAAACGCTCTGCGAGAGAGGGAGAGGGAGAGACGGAGAAGAAGAGAGAGAGAGAGAGAGAGAGAGGGCGATTGAGGTGGATAGAGACAATGAGAGAGAAAGCGTGAAATGAAAATGAAAAATCACGGTCCAAAATGTGCTGCACACACACAAACACACAGTGAACGAGTGTGTGTAGATGGTAGGCAGAGGGAGGGGGAGGTGCATGCGCCGAGGCATGCACAATTGGGCGTTGTAATTGAATTAGTCACACCCACAGATTGCACACATGAATGACTTGCCGAAGACAAAAGCGCCAGAGAGCGAGACAGAGAGAGGGAGAGAGTGGGAAATATTATGAAAGAGATGGCTAAAGCAAAAAATAGCGAATTATTTATTAAACTAGGTTACCAGGCAACGGGACATGCTGAACAAAGTAGCAACGAAACGGGGCGTGAGAAGAGAGACGGAGAGAGGTACAGAGAATTGTGCATATGAAAGCCGGGGTGAGCTCTCCCGCTGGGACTATGTGTGAAACTATCTGAGGATGAGTGCAATACCCAAAACAACCCATTCGGGGTGTTTGACAGCTCCATTAAAGAAGAAAAAAGGAAAATCTTTTTAAAAATTGATGACAACTAAACTACATACGTACATACATATAAGTAAATATTGATATACACATCATATGCTTATAATAATAATTAATCATATGCAAGTGATGGTAGATATAAATATAAATAAATACTAATGGTAATACTAGATACTAATATTTATTAAGCAAATTAAATTGTATAATATAATTGTATGTTAACTCCAATCTATTGAGCTAACTTAATTTCTTTCAGTTTTCATATTGAGCTAAATAAGATTTTCACAATCAATTTTATAGATATTTTATTATACACCAAAAAATTATTAAATAATTTATATACTTAGAAAATAGTTTTAATCTTTAAAAACGGAAAACAATATTAAATTAAGCTACATTTAATGTTTTTTTTTTTTTTTTTTTTTTTTTTTTTTTTTTTTTTTTTTTTTTTTTTTTTTTTTTTGTATTTTCCATTTTTAGTTGCAGTCGTAGAAAGAAACACTCTTTAAATTTCTGATTTAAGACCAGAGTGTGAATTAAAAATGAATTGCTTATCCAAAGGAAAATTTGCGTTGAGATTCAAGGTAACTGCTATTTGCGTGAATTAGCAGGTAAACATGAATTTGCAGAAGGTCAACAGAAGGTCAGCGAAAGAAATCATTGCATACCCCAAGAGGCACTTCTAGTTGGGCCATCGGGTTTTCAAATGGGATTTGGGCACACTGTCAACTAAATGGAATTGGCAGAGCAGAGATTTTAAAAGATTCTGGTTTGGATTCTGGATGGTATGCTGCTCACAGTAGTGCATCCATAAAATGATCCAATACAGGTTTTATTTATTTATTTTTGCTATCCACTAATATTTCTGTATACTATTCTTGACTGTTCAATGTATTATAAATTATATATTTTTTAAGTCTCTCGATTTTATACAGAGCATTTCATTATGAATATATTTTTTTTTGGTTTATTTTAGCATTAGATATAATTGGATATATAAAATATAATAATATTCTATTTTGCTTCCAGAAGTAATAAAATATTAAAATTATATATAATAAGACAAAGCCTCAATTAGTTACATGGAAAACAATTGGATATTTAATATTTCGATAAAAATAAATAAATATATTTAATATAAATTTAGTAGGAATTTTTCATAGCTAATTTAATTAGCTAAAAATTTTAAAAGGGTCTGCTTCAGATTAAATTAAAAAAAGCGAACTTATTTTAAATTTTTTTTTTTTTATTATTTTATTTTATTTTATTTTATTTTATTTTTTTTTTATTTACACAGGATAACCCAATGAATGTTGTAGAAGGGATTTAAACACCTGCGAACATATATAATCCTTGCTTTAAAACTTTAATAGATAATTATTTTCCGATTTGGGTTGTCCTCGTTATTCAAGCTTTATATCTATATTCAACTCATTTTCTAGCTATAATACCGATGAGTATATACTTAATGTTCATAAAAAGAAAGCGTAAGAAATATACCCCAACCACTTCATTAGCGCGCATAATGAACTGGCTGAGGGGCTGAAGAGGCATCCATTGTGATTAGTGATCGTAGAGCAGTTGCGCTTCAGGCAGGGTATGCCGAGTTCACTCTCACTCTCGGCTGTCTCGAGTGGGTGCAGCTCGCCGCTAAGCCGGCGCTCAAGTATTTGCCCACGTGTGCAAACACTGCGAGGCCAATTTGCATAATAATCGTGCCGTCGAGCGTCGAGTGCAGCAGCGAGAGTTTCGAGTCACTTGACCTTGTCCCAGCCAAAGAGAATGTAATGTGAGTGTTAGTGTGTGTGTGTGTGTGTGTGTGTAGTGTCAACTCGTGGCCCGTTTGCTTCGGCAACACTTTCTCGAGCACTTTTTTCCGCGCCGCCTAAAAGTATGCTTTGAAATGAGAAATGTGAAATGTGAGATGAGAGTCGCTTGTAATTAAACATGTTAAGCTAGAAAGCAAAGGCATCTACAGCTACAACTACAGCTACAGCAACGGCCACTACATTAAGGTTATTTATCGCTGAGCCCGGCTGTTTGCTTCTAATGATAAAATGCAAGCTGACCTCAGGCGGAATGAGCTAGAGAGTGGAAGAGAGAAGGAGAGAGAGGGACGGTAGGTAGTGCTACGCACTCAACTCTGTAATAAAATCCAAAAATGTGTTACCACAAAAATGTTATTTCCTAAATAAACACACCAACACACACACACACACACACACACACATACACACACACACGCATACACTTAAGCCAGGTAAGACTCTTCAGTGTTTGGGAAATTTGCGACTGTGTGCTAGATAGCAGGCACGTCCTTGCACACGGCTCACTCATCTAGCTGGGAGTCACTCATGCGGTTTTTACTGGTAATTAAATTAAATTTATTTAAGCCGAGTTATACGCTTGCCCAGCAAGTACTACTAGCAGCACTTGAAGGGAACCGACACAGAGACAGTGACAGACAGAGAGAGTGGGAGTGGGAGTGGGCGTGGGAGTGGGTGGGAGTTATGTTGCCAGCTGTGCGGCAGCCTTGGCTTGGGTTACGTTGGTTTTCGGCAACAATGTTGCGGTGGGTCAACCACAAGACTTTTCAATGGGGCAACAAGGCTTCAGGTGCCATGCCAGAAATCTAGCTAAAAAGAACGCACGCCCCAGCACGGCGGAGGGAAGGCGGCACTTTGTATTGCATTTAAAGTGACAGTTTTGTTGCTTTAAATTGTGTAATCGGAGCTGATAAAAGCTTTTGCCATTAAGTGCGCCACTACAAGCAAATGCCAGCCCGCCGGCCATAGACGCAGACAGAGACAGAGAAGGAGAACGAGAAAGAGAAGCTTTGCGAAAAATAACCAAAATTCTTTGTTTTATGATATAAGTATAATGCGCTCGCACTCGCTCTCCCTCCCTCTCCCTCCCTCTCTCCATCTCTTTCACTCTGTGTAGCATGCTTCAGGGCAAACACATTCTCAACTGCTATACAATTACACAGAATCTATGCGTGCGTGTGTGTGTGTGTGTGTGCGTTAGCTTGTTGAGCTTTTCGTTGCTCATCTTTTTTTGCTGCTGCTGCTGCTGTTGCAGCTGGTTTTAGTTTACGAGCAGCGTTTGGCACTTGTTGGACAGACAGTAGCTGGCAGCGAGGCATAAACTAAGAGGCCATCATCAATTGTTGTGCTGCAGAAATGTAACTCAAGCTGGGAGCTAGCCAAAGGTAAAACTCCTCAAATATATCACGGCAAATAGTTGGAAGAGCTCTCAACTGTTCGGTTAAACACCAAGCATATTTTAGCTGCAAGTGAAATTAATTGGCTCGAAATTTTGGGTATTTCAAGTCAGGTCAACTTGATTTCAACTCGTTAACTAATTTGCATAATTTGCTATTTAAACTAATCGAGATTCCTTTAAATTTTCTGATTGACCTCCTTTGGAAGTACGAATATGAATTGGTAAATAAAAACATAAGAGTATTTTCATCAAATATAAATTCATCATAGAAAATTCTGAATTCTGAGTGTAGCACAGATATCTGTAGCTCACACATTGCACTTCAAATTACTTAGATTACTCATTAATTATTTACATGAGTAATATTGATAAAAATTCAAATTAACTCCACTTGTCATTTTTACTAAAATATTACAGTTACTTCATACTTACTAATTCGCTTAAAAAATTTAAAAATATTCAATACGGAAGAAATTGAATTTTGCAAACTAAATTCTCTAATCTATCGCAAAATTGAATGCATATCGA